TGTTCTAGCGGGAAGTTCATTCTCATTTTGCACATTTCGAGAGTGGTGTGGCTATGCCCTCAATTGGTGCCATTGCAGTGTGCTACCAGTCTGGACGCCTGATGGCCGCCAGACAGCAGCGGCGAGTGGCCGGCTCTTAGGAAAGCACGAGCCTGACCACTATGGGCCTTGCTGCACTACTCACCAAATGTGCAAAATGAGAATGAATCTCTTCTCCGCGGTGCAGGCAGCCTGAGAAGAGTTTGCACTGCACTCCAGCAGCTTCTCCATGCAGCGCGTCAAGAAGAATGTAGCGGCAGCGCAACAACAACGTCGTTTGAAATCAAATTCAAAATTGTGGCGCCTCACTGCTGCGGGGGCATTACAGAAAGAAGGCTGCCCCTCGTGAGGGCATATGGCACAGGGCCCCATGGGAATGAGACCGCCAGTCCAGGGAGGGCATCCTGGAAAGTTGCGCCTACTGCCGACAGCGGCCTGCCGAAAAGATTTTCGGCCCAGTGGCGTGAGAGGGTAGGGCGCGGCGCAAAAGAATGCAAAATACAGGGGCGCCAGCAAAATTTTCCTTTTTTTCCCCATTCTGTGAGCTCGCAGAAGGGAATTGCAGGCATGCCTCGCCTACATTTGCTGTGTGGCTGCACAAGTGGGCAATTTCGCAAACGGCGAGGCATTGTTTCCAATTTGCTACGGTAACCCCTGTGTGACTGTGCAACACAGCAAAATGGAAGACTGGGAGTAGCAGCCCCTCGGAACATCCATTAAAATTGGAAAGATACAATCATACAGTTTTTTTTTTTTTCTGAAACAAAGGCCGGCGCGGCAGGTTTTGAGTTTGCAAACTTTAAGGCGAAAAAAACACGCACCTGGAAAGATGGCGTGAGTTTGAAGCGACAATTTGGGTAAAAAAAAGTCCATTCGGCTTTTTTATCTTTTTTTTTCTTTCCCCGCGTCTGACACCACGACCGACCCCTGTAGTTACAACACCCGGCCTGACACCATAGCTTTTTTTTTTTTTTTTTTTTTTTTTTTTTGCCGCAAACTGGGAACCGGGCCCAGCGTCCCATAACGAGTACCTTCAGAAAACTTCATCAGAAAATTTCATGAAAATGAGACAAGGAACTACTAAAAAAATATAATTGGCCTAAGGATTGGCCTGACACCATAGCCATTGGTACTTTCATTGCTTTTTCGAATTGCACGCCTGTTTGCTTTGTCGGCGTGTGTTTTTTTGCACATTGATACTAAGAACTGACATCAAGGTACTTGCCCCTTTTTTTTCGTTCCCTTTGCATTATAATAACAGTAGCCGGGGACTCCACACCCAGAATACTGAGAGCATTACTCAGCTTAGCTTACAGCCATCAGGGCTGGAAAGATCATGTCCAGCGGACATTCCTGTTAATGTACTAATACTACCAGCTAGTCTACCTCTAACCTACTGCAGAGATAAGCTTTTGAAGAATCAACAATCCATTGTGCACCTACTCAGCCTAAAGTGGCTACCAGGCCCTGCATGGGCTCAATGGATATGCACTCCTAATTCTACCCAGCCCTCTCCTGACCGACCACTGAGATTAACTCCTTATTCTGCTCTCTCCTGATGGACCACTCAGGACTGGCCCTCACTGAAAAAAGGATGGAAAAAGCGGTCGGCCAAAAAAAAGGGCCAAAGAATAGTGGAAAGCCAGAAAGCAGTTTTGCGGGGACCACATCGCGGAGGACCAAATGTGCTTGGAAAACCCTTTGGAAATCAGTTGAGCCAATCCCTGCCTGTTTCCGTTTGCACTCGTTTGTTTTGTTCTTTTTTCCCTTTTTTTTTTTTTTTTTTTTTTTTTGTGCCACTCTTCATTGCTATTGGCTGCTGCCTCCCGTGAGACTTTTCCAGGAATGACATGCCCTCCCCCCTAACCTCTACAGTCGGCACAAAATTGTGGCGAGGAATCGTCCCGTGAGACTTTTCCAGGCCGCAGACTATGTGAAAAGTTGAAAAGTTGAAAACACAAAATGATGTTTCTCCGCAACCTTCGGTCTGTGGGGTCCTGGAAAAGAGTTTGTAGAAGAAATTTCGGCTTAAAGTTTTCGTGGACATTTGCGGCAGGCTGTGGGGTCCTGGAAACAGTTTCGCAGCGAAGTTTTTCCGTCTGCGGTCCTGTGGGGTCCAACCCTCAGTCCCTAGAAACTGAGTGATCTGGTTAGAGGATAGGCACTCTCTAGCCTTCCCCATTACTGACCGAGTGCCCTGGTCCCCTGCCAAAGTTCCATCTGACTAAGTTGATCATCATCATCACCACATGAGGGACGCTGAGCCCGGTTCTCAGCAAGTTTGGTTCGGTTACTCCGGGCAGACTGTGAGGACCCCGGCCTCAACCCACAATCTTCTTATTGGTAATACCAGCCGACAAGCAGAATGGTCTTTTTTGAAGACCTGCGCTCAGGGCAATGAGTTGGTCGGTTTCCACCGCCCCAAGGGCGTGACCTTTTCCAGGTGGTTGCAGTCAGTAGGGGCAGGTTAACTAGCTAGGGGTTCAACCACCAATACTTGGGCCATACATTGGCTGCAGGCCCTTGTCGTATATTGCTGCATACCGGACAAGAATGGCTGTCGACGCCAGCCAAGCGAGAAAAATAACATCGCGTTGGTCTCCAATGCTGGGAAAGCCCTGCGTCCCAAGCTTTGTTAAACCAGCAACGCGATGTTATTTTTCTCGCTTGGCTGGCATCGACAGCCATTCTTGTCCGGTATGCAGCAATATACGACAAGGGCCTGCAGCCAATGTATGGCCCAAGTATTGGTGGTTGAACCCCTAGCTAGTTGACCTGCCCCTACTGACTGCAACCACCTGGAAAAGGTCACGCCCTTGGGGCGGTGGAAACCGACCAACTCATTGCCCTGAGCGCAGGTCTTCAAAAAAGACCATTCTGCTTGTCGGGGTCCTCTGCGCAGATGCACTTTCCTTTTCCAATCCACCAAAAATGGATTTGTCTCAGGCCCTGCTTAATAGCTCGTTTCAGCTCCAGGCCTGAGAACAGGGGGCGCTCGACTCTTAAGAGTCTTAACCTGTTCCTATCCGCCCAGATTAATGAACAGATAATTGATATGCCGACATGAGCAACGTATGGCCAGCCTCGCCGACCGGTATGACTGGCCAGCAAGCAACCCAGCATGACCCAGCCAGCGCTCATCCCAATCCACCACTTTACCCCCTATCTGACTCCAATAGTATACCCATCACTTCCATACCCGTTTTGAGGCGGGGCAGTCCCACCACAGGTTCCTAGTCCACTCGAATGGGCAGGAGCAGTGTGAGTAGCCGAGTTGCACCTCCATATCACCCCCGGTCATGACCCGGGGCCTTTTTGTGACCGTTAGCCGGGTTTGGGACGGGAAGCCGGCCACGAGACTTTCTCTAAAGGGTAAAGAGTATCCGATCTCATTTAGGCTATGGATGACCAAGACGGAGCTGAACGAGTTACAATTGAGAATCGCGGAAACCCTTTTCCGGATGGTTGCCCTACTGTCTCTCAACGCTATGTATTGCCCCCCGAGTGCAGTAGAAGGTCTAAGTTGAGGTCTTAAGCAGCTGCATGCTCTTGAGGCATATCGCTCTCGACCTAAACTAATGAACATTAAGATTGACATGGACCCGCAAGCTTGATTCATAGTTAGAATCACTGAAAAGCAAGCGGTGGAGATCTCTGGTTTCCCATCTGGGAACATGGCGCCCCCACACCGTACTTCCATTCTGCAAAGGGAGAGGACTGTACCAAGTACCAATTGGGTGCGGTCCCTCAAACCCAGAGGCTACAAACATCCATCAGGGATTGTTTTTTTTTTTTTTTTCCTAGTATGGCTCCATTCCATTGGTGGGGAGCTGCAGGGATTGTTTTTTAATGCTCTCCCAAATTGAATGTTCCTCCAGTCTCCAAAGCCCTTGGAGCTGAAGTCGATTTTCTTGGTGGGGGCGCCATGTTCCCATAATTGTAGGCCAGATATCTCCAATCTAACGATTCCTCTCTTGATCGAGGATCTGCCGAACGCTGCAGACTTTGTCCCCACTGAGGAAGGGGTATCGTCATCCTTGCAGATAGAGGAGTTATCAAACATGCCTTGCCGCAAAACTTCATCTTTCGTTTACGGAGGCGAACGAATATCCATTAGAAGCCCCTAATGAGAGTGTTAGGGGTATCATTGACGGCCACTGGCAAACCCACAACAAATGATGAATGGATTTTGAAACCCGCAATCCAAAAAATGAATCAATGGAAAAATCAACACACTTCTCTCCTAGGGAGGGCATTGGTTATAAATAATGTAGTGCTAGCATCAATTTGGTACAAATCAGCAATTTGGGCAATAAGCAAACCAGGAATCAAATATCTTCTAAAACAAATAACTGCATTTCTCTCTCGAGGAAATCATGAGCTTCAAAAGGTAATTCTTAAAGTGGCATGGTCTACTCTTATCCAACCTAAGTCCAGAGGAGGATTAGGGATTTTAGACCCCACCCTACAGTGTCAAGCGTTGTCTCTACAATGGATAATTGACCTCATCTTCGGTATAGACGAGCCGTGGCAACCCCTAGCCCTACAACAAATCAGAAAATTGGCTCCAGAAGCACCACCCGACGGGGAAAGAGGTGTTACTTGGGTAGAAAACCTATTTTGGCATATCCCTCGTCCTGCCGCACAATTGAGAAATGACGGGGAAAGAGGTGTTACACGTAAAGACCTTATCTTAGATACTCTATGGGTTTCTCTTTTGAAAACGTGGAGGAAATTACCATTACCTAACAAACCTAAACCCACACGTTTTGAGGAAATATTGAGACAACCTCTTTTTGGTAATAGATAGATTACAAATGTTAATAGCTGTGTGTATAATAGTTTCACTCCGCCATGGTCCCAATGGGTAAGGAAAGGGGTCATAAGAGTTAAAGACATTTGGGATCTGCAAAGGAGAAGATGGAAAAATCCGAATCAACTCAAAAAAATAATTACTTACGCCCACAAATTGGAACAGAATTTGGACCGTATAACTAATTTCATCCCTTTAACATGGATCAGAGAATTAAGAAATGGTGTAAAGTTTCAAAAAGGTGATCTTGTTACAATTACACAAGATCCACAAGATTGGAAGGTTGGGCAAATTATGAGTTTACTTGAGGAAGGAGCTCGAATAGCTTTATTTAAAACAACAACAAATCATTTACTCATTTCAGAGAATCAGGTTGAATTTTTTTCATTCAATGAAATATTTAGAATCAGAGTTATTTTCATCTCAGCATCCACTGGATGGAGAGCCTTCCAGCCAAAATGTTATATTATAGAACTACCATTGGATCCGGACGAATGGGTATGGCAGGTGGGTACAAGAAGCAAACCACGAACTCTACAATCTCTAACAGTAAAGGCAACATATCGTCTACTTAGACCCAGGATAGATGTGACATCTATAATAAG